TTCCCATACTTGATATCCTTGGATTATATAAGAAAATAATACAATTTAAAAGCTGTATCAATACTGGGCATCCATGACCCCACTCTACGACAACACCTCGATTTGCAACACACGTCCAAACGTTGTCGTAGGCATACAGCAACGTTTAAAAAACGTTGCCGTATGCTGTTTTTGTTGTAGTGAGTATTTTTAAAACTTGTGCAACTTCGAGAGGACAGTATTATATTCTTATTGAATATTAATAGATTGAAGTTGTGCTTCTTCGATAGCACTAAGATAATCATGTGCTAGAGCCTAGAATATTTATGTAGTATAAAATTATTTTTCTTCAAAAGTAACAACCCAAAGTTCGATCTTTTAACATATTTTTCAAGATATGCACCAGGAATAATAATAAAATTTGTGCTTCTTCATCAATGAGAACACAAGATTCACGTGAAATTATTGTGTTTATAATTCGTCCTTTATTCAAGAAAAAGTGATAGCTTAATATTCTTTTAGAATAATAATATTTCAAGATTTGCACTTTTTCGAGAGCGATAACAAAAATATTCTCCTAGAACATTTATATAACATGCTTCTTCAAAAGCGACTATAATTATTATTGTTGCTAAACATAAAAAAATATTATTAGAATTTGGATGTGGCATGAATTCTTTGTTGAAGATGATTGAAAGTTCTAATTAAAGTGCACATTAATTAAAATCACATTTGAAATGCAATTGTAAAATCATATTCAAGTTTACTTGACGAATTCTAATTGAAATTCTATTTGAAAACCATTGAGAGCAAGAATGCGCTAGCAGTTGTAAATAATACAGCAAAGTCGGTTGCGGCGCCACCCGTTTTGCTCCCTTCGCTGTTTTGGTCTCTTTTTCCCTTTTTAGCATTCTACTTTATCTATAACTCTACTATAAGGGTTTGACGTCCTTTATTTGTTCCACATATATAGTTGGCTATTCATTATGGATTAGAAGAAATTTAAAATATTGTAAACACATAATCTTTGTATTTTTTTTTCCATATTATAATAAAATCTCAATTTTCTATAAAATTACATTGTTCTCGTAATCTTTACTTCATATTGTGACTTAATCTCTTATTTTTTTAACAACAAACTGACATCATAGTGTTTCAGTTTCCACACCAAATGACAAACACATTTAATTTAATTGCACACCACAATGATTACAATAATAATAATCTAAAAGTACACGTAAAAATATTGACTACGTGTGGGTGATTTGAGATTACAACAATAAACCTAATATCATTGAAAAGGGAGAATTTCTTTGAACATCACAATTTGACTATGAACAGATGATTATATTACTTGAATTTAATTAATGAAGGCGATGAATGTGCGTTAAAAATTATAGGGACATAACAAACTAATTTGAATCAAACAATTCAAAGTTTTTAGAACGAGTAAAATTAAATTTTTGAACGCACATAATCTACTCCTCCGCAACATTCTACTACGAACTTATACTTTGTTTCTTGTCACATCAATAAGGAAAAAATAGTAGAAACAAAAAACTCTGCTATGGTACGATGACTTTAGATATAT